ATATAATAACAACAACAATAATATATTAATCCAAATTAGTCTTATAAGTGAAGTCTGAGAAAAATATAATATATACAGACTTTGCATCCTTCTTTTAGAGTTAGAAGAGATTGTTTTCGATAGATTAATTCCTTTTAGATATATAAACCAATATATATGCTCTTTATTGTAGTGAGAATGTTTAGATTAGGTTGCATGCATTTTCACTAATTCAATGGAGAAGAGACAGATTCGAAATTTAAAATTTATGAATTTTTATAAAATTTTTTTATCACACATAAAAAATGAATTTTGATGAATTTATTGATTATATTCATGGTGAAATCAAAAAGTTCGTTAAGAATATTTAGCCATTGAAAAAGGAATTTCTTTTAGTGAAAAAATAACATAATGTTGAATGCAAGGATTTTACTTAAGACTTATGCTAGAATATTCAAGATTTAATATATTTTTTATAAAAATTATGATTTATATTCTATATATATGAGTATTATTTTTTAATAAAAAATGTTCAACTGATCATTCTCACAGAGTTCGAATAGTTACTCAACTTATCTTACTGTAAATATGCCCCAAATTGGATTTAAACATGATCGTATCTTCTATCAACAGTACATAATAAAAAATTATGCCTACTAAATCTTAGTTTGTCAAGAAAAATCACTTTAACTTTGGTTTCTTTATTGAGATTTGAATCCTAATATGTCATATCCATTTTGACTATTGTGCCAAACTCCTTGCAATAGCAATACTACTGCTACTTTGTTTGGGGTAAAATTATATAAGATATATAAAATATTTTAATGATGTGAGACGTTTTATAAAAAAATCATACAAGTTTGATTTGAAAACAAAAATTCAGAATGATCATCGAATATCGAATCAAAACAAAAATATAAATATTTCTTTTTAGTTTTTCATCTAATATTCGATAATCATAATAGAACCTAACTAAATTCGAATTTTATACTAAAAAATCATACGTGAGATAATAAATGGTCTTTTAACAAAGACAATTTCTTATTCATGAGACTCAAATTCAAAACTCTCGTGATTAACCATGAAGAAGTGCTTACCATTTCAATACTTTTATAAATGTGTGTCATAAAAAGACTAAAAAGAAAGCTTCCCAAAAGCCCTCAGCTTTTATATCTTTGTCTGCCATTTAATTCCCATAAACAAACAAATCACTATCACATAAATTCCCACAAAAACCTCGTCCTTCTTCTCTCCTTTTTTTTCCTATACAAATTTTTCCTCTTAAATAACACTTCTTTAATAACTACTACGATATACTATTTCATTCTTTAGCTGAAAAAAAATGAACTATTTTTAGCTCATTGAGTTATTACTTTGTCTCAGTTGCCTATAGCTGAGAGTTAAAGCAGAAGAGAAAAAACACAAGTTGTTTCTGTTTTTGGGGTTCATTAATAAGTTCTTGAATGAAAAAAATGAGTTTCATGAAGGAAAGTTTGAATCTTTTTTGTGTTTTTTCCATTTTTTTGGTACTCAAAGCCATATTCTGATTTGGGGTTTGTTCTGTTTTTAAGCTAATCTTGAGAAAAAAAAGTGTTTCATGAGGGAAAGTTTGGATTTTTATTGTGTTTTTGTGAACCCCATTTGATTTTTGTGCCCCCCAAAAGCCATATTCTGATATTTTAGGGGGAAAAAATGATAACAGTTTCAGACCTTTACCATGTTCTAACTGCTGTAGTTCCACTTTATGTAGCTATGATATTGGCATATGGCTCAGTGAAATGGTGGAAGATATTTAGTCCAGATCAATGTTCAGGAATCAACAGATTTGTAGCTCTTTTTGCAGTTCCATTGCTATCATTTCACTTCATTGCTTCTAACAATCCTTATGCTATGAACTACAGGTTCATAGCTGCTGACACTTTACAAAAAGTCATTGTTCTTGTTGTTTTAGCTATTTGGTCAAGAATTAGCTCAAGGGGGTCTCTTGAATGGTCCATTACTTTGTTTTCCCTTTCAACTTTGCCTAATACTTTAGTTATGGGAATCCCTTTGTTAAAAGGGATGTATGGTGATGCCTCAGGGAGTTTAATGGTTCAAATTGTTGTTCTTCAATGTATCATTTGGTACACTTTGATGCTTTTCTTGTTTGAGTATAGAGGTGCTAGAATGCTTATTGCTGAACAGTTTCCTGATACTGGAGGATCAATTGTTTCATTTAAAATTGATTCTGATGTTATTTCATTAGATGGAAAAGAACCATTAGAAACTCAAGCTGAAGTTGGTGATGATGGGAAACTTCATGTAGTTGTTAGGAAATCAACTAGTTCAAGGTCTGAAATATTTTCAAGAATGTCACATGGTCATAACACTGGTGGTCTTTCCATGACACCAAGACCATCCAATTTGTCTAATACTGAGATTTACTCTTTGCAATCTTCAAGAAATATGACCCCTAGAGATTCAAATTTTAACCATAATGATATATACTCAATGGTGAATGGGAAAAATAATGCAACTATGAGTCCTAGGACATCAAATTTTGGTAACTTGGGATTTGATGAGGAGAGTGGATTTGGGAAGACTAATGTAGGGTACCCTGCACCTACTAATGCTGGGATTTTTTCTCCGGTGACCGGAGGACCGGGGACGAAAAAGAAGGCAAATGGGACAGAAAGTGGAAAAGATCTTCACATGTTTGTTTGGAGTTCAAGTGCTTCACCAGTATCTGAAGGGGGGATTCATGTGTTCAGGGGAGGTGACTTTGGTAATGAGCTTGGAATTGGACATCACTCAAAAGGTTGGGCACACACTTCCATTATTTACTATGCCATATTATCAACATGTCTAAAAACTCATGTCTTTTAAGTACTATTTTGTATTTTAGTTGGTTTTGGTTATCTTGTCTTGGTTGAGTACACTTTTTTAATGAGATAGCATGTGGTCATATGTCCTTTTCTGTTTAATAATTTAGTTGGTTTTGGTTGTATTGTCTTGGGATGAGTACACTTTTGTTTTTGTGATTCTATGCTTGGTATAGAGATTTTTTAATTTGTGATTCACTAGAGAGAAATATGTGGGGTCTGAGGAGGATAGAGTGCACGCACACCTTACCCCTACTTGATGGAGGTAGAGAGGCTGTTTACGAAAGACTAGTTCTTTCGCATATCAGAGCAGAGAGAAATATGTGAATGAACTGTTTTTGTTTTGTTGAGCCTTCTGCATTATTGAGTGGCATTCTACTATAGTTTTCTTGTTTG